GGGGGTTCTTTTACTTTTGTCACCACAAGCCTGCGGTTCTGTAGAATCAGAGCCCACTTAGCCAAGCGATGATGACTTACTCTAATATCAGAAGTCTTCCCTTGCAGAATCAGCTTCACAGGGGTGTGAGCTGTTGTTAAGGCTGATCCCCACTCTGTCACTCCGAGTGCGGAAGTGGGGGCCTGCAAGGATTAAAAAAATTAATACTGGCCACTCCAGGCTTGTATTACACTCCCAAGGTTACAGCTTCTCTCTGACCTTGGCTTGGTAAACGCTGCCACTGCCCAAATGCAAAAACATTCCCTTTGAACCCAGGAAGAAGCACATGGGAATTCCTCCCTGTGGGGTACCCTCAAGCCCTTTCATCCCCCCTCCGGGGAAGAGCTGAGAAAGCCACAGCTAATTTCCTTTGTTTTCTATCAGCTAATCAAGCAACATGCACAAACCCCTTAGGACACCAAAAAATCCAATCCTGTTCTTAAAAAAGGTAAACTTTTTAAAAACAAAAAGGAAAAAAATTACATCTGGAACTTAGCTTTTTGCGAGATCTTAAAAGAAACAATTACAAAAATTAAGCACCCAAGGTAGCTTTCTTGGGGGTTCAGCTTAAAGGTTACAAGCTGTCAAGGTTCCTTCCCCACTCTGAGCTCTAGGGTACAGATGTGGGGACCTGCATGAAAACCTCCTAAGCTTACTTTCACCAGCTTAGGTTAAAACTTCCCCAAGGTACAAATTAATTTTATCCTTTGCCCCTGGATTTCCACTGCCACCACCAAACTTTAACTGGGTTTACTGGGAAATGTAGTTTGGACACAACTTTCCCCCCAAAATCCTCCCAACCCTTGCACCCCACTTCCTGGGGAAGGTTTGGTAAAAATCCTCACCAATTTGCATAGGTGACCACAGACCCAAACCCTTAGATCTTAGGACAATGAAAAAGCATTCAGTTTGCTTACAAGAAGACTTTTAATAGAAGTAAAGGAATCACCTCTGTAAAATCAGGATGGTAGATACCTTACAGGGTAATTAGATTCAAAACATAGGGAATCCCTCTAGGCAAAACCTTAAGTTACAAAAAAGACACACAGACAGGGATAGTCATTCTATTCAGCACAGTTCTTTTCTCAGCCATTTAAAGAAATCATAATCTAACACATACCTAGCTAGATTACTTTCTAAAAGTTCTAAGACTCCATTCCTGTTCTGTCCCTGGCAAAAGCAGCATACAGAGAGACCCAGACCCTTTGTTTTTCTCCCTCCTCCCATCTTTTGAAAGTATCTTGTTTCCTCATTGGTCATTTTGGTCAGGTGCCAACGAGGTTACCTTTAGCTTCTTAACCCTTTACAGGTGAGAGGATTTTTCCTCTGGCCAGGAGGGATTTCAAAGGGGTTTACCCTTCCCTTTATATTTATGACACAAGCAAACAAAAGCATCAGGGGTTAGCAGAGAGGAGATCCAGAAGCCAAAATAAACAGAAATAAACCTAATTGTGTCTTCCTAAACATCCCTAATTTACTTACATATTTGGGTTGTTAAAAGGAGTTCTAGATATGATCTGATGGTTTTCATATCTGGTTCAAACTTTACACAGCATTCCTGCTGCCGGTCTCTGCAGCCCAAAAAGCAACAGACAAAGGGAAAGTTTCTTTCCCCATTTTAAAAAGTTCTACCTTCCCATTGGCTCTTTTGGTCAGGTGCTCACTCCTTTTCTTTTACCTGTGGGCTTGTTAACCCTTTACAGGTAAAGCAAGCAGAGAACAGACCAAGAGGGATTTTATCGCTAACGGGCTGGCTGGCTGTCCATCAAAGGGAGCTACTCCCCCCGCCTCTTCATTGGTCACAGCTGTGGTTACAATACTAGGTGCTTGTCCTGTCCTATTTCTATTTCTGCAAGGCCCATATAATAGCCAAGCATTCCAGTTCCCATGGAGAAAATCTGGACTCATGGGGTGTTAATTTGCGGCTTCCATAAGCAACAGGGCGCTGCTTTCCTGCTGCAGTGCTGCACCTGCAGCTCCCAAGCGGTGCAATGCCGGTCACTAAAGAGACGGAGTTGGATCTGGATCTGCTCATGCCGGCGCAGTCAAAACTGCTTCCTTTAACTTTCTGAACGCCTCATCATGGTCTGGGCCCCAGGCCCATTGTCGGTTTCTATTTATTAGGGACCACAGGGCTCTGCAAATTTCAGCAAAATTTGGTATAAAATCCTGAACAAATCCCATAGTTCCTAATAACACTCTAACTGAACGCACCTCCACTGCCTTTGGGACGGTACTTAAGATTTGGATTAATACAGTTAAATTGGTGAATACAATTAATGGAAAATGCTTATTAATTCTTATTAAAAGTCTTTAAAGGACAAGGCAACAAATAATCTGCCTAACCAATTGCATAATTTTGTTTGCTTGTTAAATTTTTCAGTATGCATTATTTTCCTAAATTTAAGTTCTTAGAATATCAGGGTTGGAAGGGACCTCAGGAGGTCATCTAGTCCAATCCCCTCCTCAAAGCAGGACCAATCCCCAATTTTTGCCCCAGATCCCTAAATGGCCCCCTCAAGGATTGAACTCACAAGCATTGCTTTAGTAGGCCAATGCTCAAACCATTAAGCTATCCCTCCTCTCTTTAATGTGCTATTTTCTGTATTTGTCTTTAAGTGTAAGTTTTCCTAAAAGTAATGATTTTGTGTGTCACATAACTATTTAAAAAAAATTCATTTTGGTTTTTTATTTTTCACTTATTTACTTTTTGTTTCCACCACAGAATTAATTTTACAAGCAAATTCATATTTTTTTTAAAACATATATATTTTAGTGGTACCACATTATCGTCAATATTATCACGGGGTCATGACCATTATCAATTTGTTATGAACGTTAATCATTTAATGGTTTTTTTTTGTTTCCCCTCCCTTACGTCATTAAAAAAAATAATTAAAAAACCCTCAACCAATGAATCTAAAAAAAGAAATCAAACAAAAGCTATTAAAACAAACGTCACCATCCTGGCTAGCATCCCCACTGTTTCCTTAGACCCTGGCCCTTCTTCATCCTTATCCTAAAAATATTTTTACCAAACCAGACCCAAAAGCCCAACGTAATCACTTCCACCCACGCCCGCTGAGTCCCAAACACCACCCAAAATGAAATGAAATTTTATCTATGCCAGCAACAATGGCTCCAGCCCAGATCAACTCACATCTTCTCTCCCCACCCCCAGAATAGTTATTACCATCTTTAACACCATCGAAAAGCTGGCACACAAGTGGGAGGAGGGGGGCAGCGTTTCCTCTTACAAACTCTCCCTAGCTAAAAAGAAAACAAAAAATGCTATTAAAATACAAGTGTAACTACAGCTGTGTCAGTCCCAGGATACTGAGGGGAGGGAGAGCTCAGTGGCCTGAGCATTGGCCTGCTAAACACAGGGTTGTGAGTTCAATCTTTAAGGGGGCCATTTAGGGATCTGGGGCAAAAATTGGGGCTTGGTCCTGCTTTGAGCAGGGGGCCGGACAAGATGACCTCCTGAGGTCCCTTCCAGCCCGGATAGTCTAGGATACTAAACAGAGCAGGTGGATGAAGTAAAGTCCCTTCTACAGTCCAAGGAAAGGTATTACCTCACCCACTGTGTCTCATTAAAATAAAAAAGTCTTGCCCCTAACACTTTACACTGGAAGCGCTTTAACCGGCTTTCTTTCCATTCTGCATATTTAATAAACATATTTTACAATTTTAATAGTCTGAAGTTATTATTAAATCACAGACCCCTCCCTTCTCATTCAGATCAACAATAATAAGGAAACAGCAGGTGCCAGAGCAGCAGCCGTGTTCACCGGTAGCCGCAAAAAGAACAGGAGGACGTGGGGCACCTTAGAGGAAATGGCAGAAAGAGTGACAGGTGATCATACACATGATGGTGATTTCTAACCCATGGACAGCAATTCCGTTTCAAGGGTTTGATTGTTTTTCCAAGAGATTTGGGGTCTGACTGTACTAATTTTGTTTTGTTGTTTCCATGTGTTAAAAAAAGTGTAACTGTCCTGTGGATGCGTTCCCATCGGCCACGTGGGATTGCAAGAAGGGGCGGCCCTAGCAGTCTAATCAGACCGTCAAGAGTGGGACTGTTAATGCCATTATTTAGCCAAGAAGTGCGTCTATCAGTAAGAGAATCCAAACTGATGCTAAAGTGAACCATTTCCCCAGCACCCTGTCTACGAACGTAGATCAAGAACTGTGTGTAAGCTTTTATTCTTGCTGTACACAGAATTGAGGTAGTATTTTGCTGAGATTTATGAAAAAAATTATCACTTGATATAATTGTTGCTAGACACTAGGTACAAATTTCAAACAAACTTGGCTAGCAAGTGCAGACTGCAAGGACATGGAAATATTAGAGTAAGAATGAGGCAAACTAGTCTGGGGGAGTTTGTGCCCATGGGAACAGCTTAAGGTATGTACTCCTCAGCTAAAAGTTATATTTCCAGAACCGTCCAGGCTGCTGGTTGTCTCCCTAGAGCAATGGAGTGGAAAGGATTTAACCCAGATCTTTCTATATTTTTGCTGATTAATCTTTCACTCACACCCACTGGTTAATAAATCTGAATGACTGTGATTATTTGACGTCGTATTGATCAAAGAAGAGAACCCTCAAGACCCCGCCTGAGGAGGCCTGCGGGGAGGTCCCGGTGCCCCAGGCTGTTCGGCACTGGCCAGCAGGGGGCGGCAGCAGCACTGACTAGCCCAGCAGCCACATCTGAGCCAGGACATGGGGCCATTCCAGCAACGCCACTGCTCGGAGCACAGCGATTTAAAGAGCCCCACCCCGAGCGATTTACAAGAAGTCGCAGACTAAACCACAAGGGAAGCCTGGGCCTTTAGCATCAGAATTTTATTTACTGCCTCAAACACAATCAATAACTGAGCAACTTACAACTGTTGTCCTCAGCCCCTTAACTGAAGGTGACAGGGAGAACTTGGCAGCCGGCTCCTGGCCACGCGTCCCCGCTGCGCTCAGTGCGGTTGTGCTGAACAGGATCTGAGTGTAACGCCTGCAAGGTGCCAGGATGGGGTAGATCCACAGGAACCGCCAGGCTGCTCCTTCTTCCACGCCTGCCTGGCTGCTTAGTTGCTGCCAAACCTGGCTGGCTTCTTGCAGATATTAACCTCCCATTTGGTGCAGCTCTGCATGTGGATGTCCCCCTCCTGCATGTATACGCAGCCAGCTGCTCCTGGGACCTGGAACCTGCCAAGCACAAGCCCCGTCTTACTGCCAGCCCTGGGGGGACAGCCGCAGGCTGGGGCATTTGCCCCTTCTCGGCTGCACTGGTAAGAATTGTCTTCAAGTGCATTCACCATAGTGCATAAACAAGAGGGGCCAGACGGACAGTCCTGGTGAGTCTCCCCTGCCCGGCACCTGGGTCGTCACTGACCCCTGTGCAAAGTGGGAGGAAAACCACACCTGAATGCTGCTATTTAACACCCACTTTGCCTGACACACAGGGCCAGGCTCTGGTGAGTCAGTCCCCAGCTAGGTCTCTGCTAAGTTTTTACACAGCCCCCTCCGTCACCACGTGTCTCAGTGCCAGGTAGGAGACGACGAGAGCGGCAGGGACTGGGGGCTGGTGAACAGCTGTCTAGTGTGAGGGAGACTCTGCACGAAGCCACCTCCTGGATGGGGACGGCGCAGGGACACTAGTAATAACCGATGTCTGGCCCTTTCCAGCCAAAGGTCCCAAAGCGCTTTGCAAAGGCAAATGGTGTCACTCGAGCTGCTCAGAAAATGCCCATTATTTCCCTTGGGGACATTTGTTTAAATTGTGGGTTTCTTACATTTCCTGTACATGGATTTTTTGATGGAAAACCAAAATGTCCTCTCCCAATTTTTGTTTTGCTTTGGTTTGGTTTTCCAACATCGTTTTGGGTACACAGTTTCAGCCTTGGATAAAAATGTCTGCTTTCTCAAAACCAAAACCTTTTACTGAACACTGAAAGGTTTTATCAAAACCTTTTTCATTTCTATTGGCGAGCGTTGACAAGAATTATAATTTTCCACAACAGCCATTTGCCAATGACCAGAACGTCCGAGTGGAAAATGAGGGGTCGGCTCTGACTGGTTTCCCCATCGACAGGGGAGGAGCCACCCCATTCAGAGCTGGCACAGAGCTCGACCAGTGCCCCTGGGTGGGCGAGGAGAGACGTACAGCTGGAAGGAGAAAGGGGAGCCGTCAGCCCACGTCCAGTTCCCGATGTCATTGTCGTAGTTCAGCCCTGTCCAGAAATTGAAGAAGTGCTGCTGACCGTGTCGTATGCGGCCCGCTTGGAGGTCTCGCGTTTCAGGAACGCCTGCCCCAGAAAGCAAGGGACAGCGATAAATCCTGAGTCCCCCTTTGAAGGCATCTGGGTGAGAACGGGGGCTCAGTCTCTCTGGAAATCAGGGCATGGATCTAATTGTGTAAATATGCGAATAGGAGCCTGAATCTAGGACTTTCCCTGGGGCACTCAGTGAGTCAGTGGTACAGAAGCCGGATCTCCCTGCTCCTGGCCCCTGCTTCAACCCTTCCTGGGATGGATCTGCGAAACAGGGGACTACTCCCATCAGCCCCTCCCCAATGCACATCCCCTTCCTCCTGGCCAGGTGGGGGGAAAGGTCCTGAATCCGGAAGTGTCTGGCTCTGCTAGGGAGGCAGCAGCCCCATGGCTGGCCAGGGGCTGCGGGGAAGCTGGCTGCAGAAAGGATTCCTCTGAACCCACAAGCGGAGCCGTGTGTGGAGCAGCCTGTGCGTGCCGGACATCGCAGCTGGGGCAGGTCTGTGTCAGCCTTATGGGGGAAAAGCGGTGGCTGGGCAGCGAGCCAGCGCAGAGGGGCCGCAATGCGAGAAACTAACTGAGCCTGGCTTGGAAACCCACAAGCATCTGTTTGTTTGACTGGAGACTGGACTGGAGAGGACCCTGCAGGCACCAGCCTGGAATAGCCCCGAACCTCGACTGGACTGAAACAAGAGCTGCTATTGCTCACCTCAGCTGTAACCGTTAAGCCTCCGGACCTAGGGAATCGGCAACCCTCCCTGCGCGGCCAGCCCAGTACAATTCCCTTTCCCTGAGCCAGGGATCTGGGGCCCACCAGGGCAGGCACCTACAAGGCCAAGCTGCTGAGCCACCTACAGTGCTGGCCCCAAATCGCTGTCCAGCTAGCGTGCTACTGGCTCCCTTGGGGCTTGGTGTGCTCCAGCCCCCCGCAGCCTGGACAGTTATACCCCAGACCGTCTGTGGAGGGGTGCACTACCCCTTTAAGGGACAGGCTGGGGGGTAATCAAGGGGGTGCGGCCCTAGGGCTGGGCTATTTAAACAGGAACAGGAAGGTAGCTGTGCAGGAGAGAGGGGGTGGAAGCCGTGCAGGAGAGGACCTTATGAACAGCTTGTTCTAATTGCTCCTGTCCTGAAGCCTCAGTCAAATTGGACGTTCTGTTTGGATAATGTGTGTGTTGGTCTCTGCTTGCCCCGGGCTGTTGAAGCAAACCTGTTCCCTCTCTACTCGTGGGGAATTCAGGTGGGGCCCACCTGCAGCACCACCCTAGGCCACAAGGCAGCTTGTAGGGGCAGCCCAAACCTTTACACCGTCCTCCTCCTCTGGGCTGCCCGCAAACAAGATCCCCACATATCATTCTTGACTGGAAGCAGGAATAAAAGCCAGAGCCAAGGGCCCAGGAACTGCCAAATCAGAGCGCAGCGATGGCCCATCTCATGCAGTAGCTCACCGCCACGAGGGGCCAGTGCTGGGTGCCTTACAAGGAGGGGTAAAAGGCCCATAATGCATCTTGCCCAGTGTGCAATACGGCAGCATAAAGGTCACTCCTCCCTGGCCACCCAGCCAGCTGATCTGTTTATGCCCTGAAGCACAAGGATCAATGGCCCTGAGCCTCAGATCCTAGCTCATGTTGCTACACTCGGAAATGCTCTTCTCATTCAGGCAGGAATCTGATCCTTTCCCAAATCTCCCTAAATTATTTGCCTCAGTATCCTGCAGAAGTGAGTTCCATAGATAATTATCTTGCCTTTCTCACTTGATTGGTAGCTCACAAAGCTCAGTCATTTGCAATGGGTTTCCCAGACACTAGTTCTATCTAACAAGGCCTAACTGTTCTTTAAATGCACGTTGTGCTCCTGAAAGGATCTGCAATGACAGAAGCAGAGAGTGGACTCAGAAGGCAAACTCCCTCCTCCTCGTGCTCTGCATGGTGACTTCTATAGAGGAAGAGGTGTTAGCTCCCGTAGCCTATTTCATCCTTGGACTCTAATGAGGGTGACAACAAGGAGACCAGTTAACCACACCTGCCCCACTGGGAACTCAATGGAAGGTGTCACTACTGAGCTGGGTCTGGGCTGGAACGGGTGCATTAGAGGTGAAAGGCCTCTTGTCCCATTCCACATCCCCCTGAGCCAGTCAGTCGCCCCTTTGCTTCTCCCCAGATTGCCACAGACACTCAGTGTGTACGTAATTTTGCCATTGGCACCATTCCTCTGGAGGTGGCTCTGGACCAGCTCCTCCTGGGTGTCTGTCTTCACCAGACTGTCCGACATCGCAGCACAAGCGTCTCTGCTTTCCTGCCAGGTTTTCTCTTTCTCAGACAGCAAGTAACAGCTGGCTGCCTGCTGGACCCAGTCGATGTCACACGTGCTGCAGTTGTACCCTGGAAGAAAGGGGAGAACAGACAGGCTTTCAATCCTTGTTCTCCGAGAGCATTTTCTTACCACAGCTTCGCGCTGCTGGGTGTGAAGGATGATGGGAAATTCCCCTCGCTTAGAATTCTAAACCGCTGACCCATCCCGGCACACGTCTTCTCACACTGAGCACTTCAGCTGGCCCTACCGCCTTGGACCATCAGCTCCTTTGTTCAAGCAACAAGTAGGATGCGCAGTAAACTCGTACCATGAGTTCTCATTTCAGTGGGGAGGGCTGGTCAGGGAGGGAGGGACAGTTATAGCCCCTCTCTGAGAACAGGAGTTATAGGAAGATGGAGACAAGAATTGGCACTGAGATGTCACGGGGATGAGCACAGTATGAGTAAGATATTCAGACAGATCAGATAAAGATCTGGAACAATGAAAATAGGTAGGAAGCTAGGGATGGATGGATGGAAACAAAGAGAAGGATATGGAGAAGTGAGAGATTAGCTAAGCATCCAGGGATGGACAGACGGCTAGACAGAAACAGATAAGGATACAGGGAGAGAGATTAGCTAAGGCTCTGATGGAGGGGGGGATGAATAGGTGGGTGGGTGGAGTCTTTTTCTTTCCCCCCCCAAAAATGGTTATTATAACACACCCCCAGAGGCTCTAGCTGTGGTTCTTTACTCAGACCGGTTGTCAGCAGCTCCACGGTGTCTGACAGAATTATATTTTCCACTTCCATGACCTCCAACTGTTGCTTTGATTTCTGGGAAAACCTGGTAAACTTTAAAGGCACAAGAAATCTCACAATACAGTGGGGTGCCCAGAGCCAGGGGACTCCTACAGCTCTGATCATCTTGGGGCCTTTACAGCCTGAGATGGACTGTGACCATGTGGGGGCAGAGTGCCACCTACTGACTGACAGAGGGAATGCAGGGCTTACGTCTCCTTTTGCTTGCACCAATTTTACACTAGTCAGATTCCACCGACATCAGGGGAGATGTTCCTTATTCACCCAAAGAGAGAGGGGAATCGACACCATTATTTTGAAACTGGAGTCTCTGCAGGAAAGAGCGGAGATGGGCGCTCCCTGCGTTTTATCCAGTAACAACCATCACAGTGCTTGGCACTTGCATGTTGTATACATCAGATGGGGCTTACAAACGCTCAATCATTACATGACGGATGACAAAGACCTATTTGGCCACCGGATCCATCCCCCTGCCCTGGAACAGAACCGTCAACATTTACGTTGAGGATATTCTAGCAAATGTACTCAAGGTTGTACGTTTGTAGAGGGAGATCAGCAGCATCCCACGTCTCAGATGTCGCCGGGCAAATCCTTATTTCTACTTACCTATATCTAAGCAGGTATTTATACAGCCTGTGTCACCGTAGGATCAGATTTCAGAGGGGCAGCCGTGTTAGTCTGTATCCGCAAAAAGAACAGGAGGACTTGTGGCACCCTAGAGACTAACCAATGTATTGGAGCATAAGCTACAGCTCAGTTCATCGGATGCATGCAAAAAAGCTTAGGCTCCAAGGTTAGTCTCTAAGGCGCCACAAGTCCTCCTGTTCTTTTTTCATCGGCTCAGAGCGCCTCCGGGCACACTCTTAGGGGAGAATGTCTCTCTGGATCCATCACCGTGGGACCCAGGCACCTCCAGTCAGAGGTGCTGGAACGAGGGGTACTTGCAGTGCTGAAGCACCCCCTGGTTTGTTTCCATCCTATCCAGGGTTGACAGTTTGGTTCAGTGGCTCTCAGCACCCCCACTACTCCAGTTGTTCCCACTCCCCTGCCTACCGTTCCCATTCCGATGGCCATGGCAGTGCCCTTGGCTCCTGATGGTCCAGGAGCAGTTTAGAACCAACCGGGGCAGCCAGAATCCCCTGTGGTAACACCTTTGTCCTTTGCCTATCCAGAGGTCCCTGATCTACCATGGACCCCGAAACACACCAGCTAACGCACCTTCTCTGATCCCTGTCTGAGTGTCTCTCCACATGCACCTCATTGTGCCTATTATCGTAGTCTCTATCCTGAATGAAGGGTCACGCTTATACATGCCCAAGGATGGATGTCGCTCTCCACCCCATTTACAGCCACCTCTGCAGGTCGGATCAGTCTAGGTGGATGTTTTCCAGGGCAGAACCTTGCCCAGAAGCTACTGGTGGGTTCACGCTCCGGGCTGGGGTGCAGGATGGGTGGAGGGGTGCAGGCTCTGGGAGGGAGTGCGGGGGGCTGGGTGCAGGCTCTGGGATGGAGTTTAGGTCCAGGCTCTAGGCTGAGGGTACAGGTTCTGGGCGGGAGATTGGGGGCCAGAGAGGGGGTGTGGGCTCTGGAAGGGGGTGGAGGGTGCTGGCAGCGGAGGGGACTGCCATCACATGTGGCTTCCTTCCTCCCCTGCTGCCCCTCGCCATAGCCTCACTGGGGGTGGGGGATGGGGCTGCCCCTTGCCCAGTGTTTGCAGGAGTGGTGGCGGGGGGATCACAGGGTCAAACGCTCACTGAAGCCCCAGCAGCTGCTCAGGTGAGTCAAGGGGGTCCACTCCAGATGCCTCGCGCCGGAAGCCCCCTCGGCGTCTGGTGCCGGGGGAGGAGAGGGCTGCCAAGCCCGTGTGAGCCTCCTCCCGCTCCCGAGGTGCAGGAGCAGCCGCAGCTGCCTTGGCCTGCCCCCCGCCTCTTGTGCGGTGCTGTAGCCGCCGGCAGCAGAGGCCAGGGAGAGCCGGGCCGCTTTCACCCAGGCAGGGGCGCGCCGGAGGCCGGGGCGGGGCAGGCGGGGGCTGCTCCAGGGGCCACTCCAGACAGGGCCAGGGGAGAGACCCAGCTCCAAACACTGGTGGAGCAGGGCCCCCCAGCCCTGAATATTGCTGGAGCCCAGGCACCACAAGGGAATTCAACTCACCACCCCTGTCCCTGAGTTTCACTCTACAGGACCATCAGAGGGTGAATTCCTTAGCAACCCTTCCCGCCTCCCCAACCAGAACACAGAGCTATGGCTGACTCCTGGCTTCCACTTAGGGTTAGGGTGACCGTATTTCCCAAAGGGGAAACTGGACACTGTGTGGGGCTGGCCCAAGCCCCTCTGCAGTCGCTCCAGCCCTGCCTGCCCCTTGTGCGAGCCCGGCCTCCCCCATCCCCCGTGTGGGGCTGGCATCGCCGCAGCCCCCTGCACGTTCCTCCACACGGCACCCAACTTTTTTGACAAAAGTGGGCATTTGTCCCGTTAGCTCTCGCCAGCTGATCAACAGTGTAGCCTGGATGCCCTGATCGTCGGAGCCCTGGGCGCTTGGGACCCCTGCAACGAGCGTGTGCTGCGGACCGGCGGGATCGGTCGACGCTACGCACGGCTCTTGCGGTGCCTCATGGTCTCGGACACCATCCGATGGTCCAGGGACATCTACATCGACCACATCACCGGCCACCGACAGCACCAGGAGGCGTGAGCCGGTACGACATCCTGCATCCACTACGGGAAAGGGACTGAGAGACTTTTCCCATTGGACCATATGAACTGGAACCATAAACTCACGGAACATTAAATCCCACCAAATGAGGGTAGATCCATCCTCATCATCGTATCCACTCATTATACTCCACACCTGAACATAGCCATGATGTGGACAACACACCCCCATAGCTCAATGTCTGCACTTTGACCCGCTAAACTTTTACCCCCAATTGGGGAGATTGCAGATGATGTATTCCTTACGCCACTCGCTCCTAAACCGAATTTCACACCCCTTGATAATCTGTACCTTATTCCCTGATAACCAGAAACTTCTATGCTTAAACTCTGTACTGTTTTCTTTTTACTTCAACATCATCTTAATAAAATTATTAAATCTGTTGCTTTGGTGCCCTTGACGCTCTTTGACTTTTCCTTCTGCTTCCCTCTCCAGCGTGTAAAGAGAAACCTGAGAGCACGCAGGTGAGAGTCCTTGTTTCTGTTCAGTGATTATTAGGGCTGCAGTCCCGGCGGAGGGGTCTAGGGGCTAAGCCTTCGCTGAGAGGTGGGGACAGTGTGGCAGCGAGGAAGGGGCAGCTGCGCAGACGTTCCCTGCTGCCCAGTGAAATCACCGAGAACTGGGGCTAGCGGGGGGACCTCAGGGCGTGGCTGTGAGTGGCAAGCAGTGGGGGTGGTAGCGGGTAGGGTAGCAAGCGGCAGCCGAGATAACAGCGGTGCTCAGCAGTAGCAGAGGGCAGTGGCATGTGAAGGCCGAGATGGCACCAGCAGCCATGAGCCAATTGCAGAGGCCGGGGCCGGCGCGGCGGCATGGCTCAATCTCTCCCCCCTCTTCCAGGGTGGGAAGTGAACCCGGGTGAAGGCTACGCTGGAGTCTGGGGCTTCCCTGGCCAAGATCAACCCTCTGTGAGAGGGGTGGATCAGAGGGAAAGGGGCTTGGTGTGTTAAAGGGACAGCCATTCGTTGGACTTTCACATCGCAAGGTTGGAAACTGAGCCAAAGGACACTGCCCATCACAGTGTGGGGTGGGTGTTTACTTATGGTTACATGCTTTTGAAAGTGGTTGTGGTGTTTTCCCAAATTAATGCTGGATTCCCTTTCCCTTTTTAATACAAGTTTTCTTTTGTCACACACAGACTCAGTCCTTGCGAATGGGGAAATATTGCCCCTTAGAGATGCCCGGGGATGGGTTTAGTTTTCCCAGATGACTGGCTCAAGCCAGTTGTTTGGTATTGGCACCTGCAGCTCCATGGGAATCGTTTGCCTGGTTCTCTGCCCTCGATCTGTGTGTGGGGGACGGGACTCTCCCATCATTGAGGGGTGAGGGGGGAACGGCCAGCACCCTAAGGCCACACCTAGAGCAATTTATTTAAAGAGGATGCAAAGCTGCGGTTGCTTTTTGTCGGTGCCTGAGGCCTGGGCTTGCGAGGGTTAATGGGCCCTGACCAGCTCCCGGCTTACAGCATCTTGCTGGAGATGCACAAAGGGCTCCTTAAAGGTGCAAATACCACCATAGGGGAGAGGTGGGTGGTACAGAAGAGAGATGATGGGTTATACCCCTTAGTGGGTATGTGGGGCAGTACATGATGGGTAATATGGGGCATTTCCATCATCACACTCAAAGAAACTGTCAGGGATTTGCCTTTAGTAGGATTCTCTGCCCCGGCTCCCATCTCCACTGCATCCCCATCTAACCTTCCCTTCCAACCTGGCAATAGCACTGTCCTGCTTAGAGTAATTCCGGCAGGAGTTTGCTCGGGAGGCGAAAACACAGCCTGGCCGAGAATGTGCTGCCTTGCAGTTCAGTGTAATAAATGTATCAGGAAATGAACGGCAGCCCAAATCCCATCTCCCGGCCGCCTTCCTATGGCCTGTCCCTAGCATTGTCCCTTCTGCGGTCCGGCTCAGGGAAAGCCCTTTTGGGCTATTCCCAGAGGGAGAGCTCAGTGACTGGCTCCCGTCACCGAGTGTCCGAGGCTCAGGGGCTCAGATCTGTGCTGACTGTGAAGGCTTTAAGCGATCACTGTGACCCTACCCAGCGTGGGGAAGGTTTGGGGCTCTGAAGTTGAACCCCGAGAAAGCCAATAGCCCCCTGCCGCCTATAGGATCGTTGCTCCCACAAAAAACCAGCCCCAAACCCATGGCCAGGTGGGGGGAAGCCTTGTCTCTTTGCTGTTATTCCTAGGGACAAAAGTACCAGCGCGGCATGCCCTGCTGCCCGCACCAGAGCTCGGGCTGCAGGGCCTGAGATAAAGATGGGGGCAGCCCAGCTCTAGGGAAACAAGAAATCAAGGTATCCTGTCCCAGGAGCCTCCAGCTCGCCCATCTCCAGCAGCACAAGAGCAGTCCCCCAGCTCCAGGGGTAAGGTGACGTGACCCAGTGGTGCTGGGATTGGGAGGTTCATCCCAGAGCTGCAGCGGGGAAAGCCCAGCCTGCTTAGGGTGACCATATTTCCCAAAGGGAAAACGGGACACCGCACGGGGGGCTGGCCCAAGGCCCCCACCTCCATGGGGCTGGCCCCAGCCGTTCGCCCAAAGTGCGCCTCACAGACTGTCACTGGACACTCAAAGCCTGCTGACCCCCTGCTCGAGTCTGTTGCTGGTCACTGGAACCCTGTCTGCCCCCCCCCACTGGAACCATTCCCCCCCCCCGCCCCTGCACGGGGCTGGCATCTCCACTCCCCCCCGTACGTTCCTCCGCACTGCACCCCACTTTTTAAGAAAAGTGGGCATTTGTCCCGTTTGCTCTTGCCAACTTGAGACAATGGGATAAATGTCCACTTTTGTCAAAAAAGTCAAGAGGGCCAGGTTGGGGCTTAATAAAAGGACAGTCCCAGTCACAACAGGACGAATGGTCCGCCTACGCTGCTCCTACAGTAGAGCAGATAGGAGGATGCCTCCTGCTGCCCCTCCCTGCATGCTGAGTGACCCCCCTTTCCTCCTGTAAATCCCTCACTCCCACCTTCATGAAACCTCTCTGCAGCCGTCCCTTTCATAGCGAGCGCTTGGCTCCTCCTTGAGCTGGGACCCTCGTCCGATGGACAGAGTTTGTCTGACACAGGGTCCTTTCTGCTCCTGCTTTAGTCAGTGGCAACCCCACCCGCTGCACTGATTGCAGCAGGCTCAGGATCAGGCCCTTAGACTGTGGTTGAGGAAGAGGCAATTCCCCTTTCTTTCATGCCAGGGTTGCTGGGTGCCCCCGCTCCCTTCTGCTGTTCCCTCCTATACCAGGGGCTCTGTGTGCCATGTAGAATCCGTGCAGAAAGCAAAGATGGGAATAATTGTATAGACACACTACAGGCACTCAGCGATGCAAACACAAAGGCTGTTAGAAGAAACTCCACACCTATTTGCTGCGTGGATGTTGGAAGGCCGCAGAGCTGGAGGGTAGGTTTGCTTAGAGACAAGGATGGTCTCGCCGTCCCCTCTGAGTAGAAACAGCTGCTCAGTATCAGAAGCTAAACTCTCCTCTGTGGTGTTGCCTACAAAACACTTGACAACGGCTGGGTTGCTGGTGGGCTGAGACCACTGTCCATTTTGCTGACCAATATTGTCTCCTTGTGCTCCCCCGTCTGTCTGCTGGTTCCCTCCTGTTGTCTCTTGTCTCAGACTGTGGACTCTTTGGGGCCAGACAGAATCAGGTCCTGGTCCACGTTGTGTGGAGCTCCTAGGTGCTACCACAATACTGTAACCCAAACACCTCAAGTGTTCTGCTTCTGAGCAGCAACCCTTCCTGAAGTCTCTGAATCAGAGATCGACAGGAGGTTACTAATCCCTTGCAGGTCCCCTCTGCACCCGTCTGTCAGAGTTTGCCCAGGAAGAACGCCACCCACACTGCTGTTTGAATGTAAATGTTCCTTTAATTAGTGAGGGAGGATGTAAAGGGAGGAAGGGAAGGGAGGGGAATAACAATAGAACCTTAACTTAACATTCACACGCAGGCAAGCACACGAGGTGGTCATTGGAAACCTTCTACCTTAACTTCTCCACAGGTGACACGGCTGGATGATTGATTCCTAGCTGAGCCGGATCAGACGCCTCCTCTGACAAGGACCGCTGACGATGGAGTTCAGGTGAGCGTCCCTGACACCAGTTTCCCACCCTAACCCCTTTGTGCCGTTGTGACTGCTAGTAAGAGCCTCCTCGAAGCGTCTGCGAGTGTGCTCCCCAACAAAACAACAAACCCTGACAACAACACACTCACCGGTAGCAGCAGCTGTCACAGGCTGACAGCTAGTCCCTGCTGTTACGGAGAGAGAGGTCCTGACTGCTGCTGTACTTAAAGTCACAGCTCAGCAGGCAGCAACCTTCTCCGTCTCCTGAGAAAGAGCCCCATCCCTACCCCACCGGCTTTCCTATATACCCTTCCCATTGCTAGGGCACTCCTTTCTTTGAGTCCCGCCCTGTGCCTTTTGCAGGGAACTGAAACTTCACAAATCCTATGTTCATGGACAATCTCAGGACACATAAACATATGACAACCATCACATAATAAAAACCTACACATAACCCTTATTAATTATGTACACGCACCTGACATGGATATGTCCCAAGCCTGCCCAATTTAATTAAGGGGCCTCGTTCTTTACAAGACACGTAGCTAATAATAATTATAAGAAGCAGCAGCAGGATGTGCCGTGGTCTGAACTATTCAGGGGACCCAGAATCATTTGCAACCCGAACGTCATTGTTACACAGGTGGGGAAAGTGACTTGCTTCAGAAGGAGGTCTTGCTGTGTCCAGAGAAGGGAAAGGATCCCCTGTTTTCTCCACATCTTCAGTCTCCTGCTCTGTTGTTGCCACCAGTGGATCTCCCCATGTACCACGGACTTTCATTCTCTTGAATGAAGTCACGTATGGCCTCAGCCTCAGAGGTCTGGGAGCTCTGCTGGAATTCTCCTGCCACCTCTTCCAACCTGCTTTTCAGTTGTGGCCTCTCCAGGTAGTTGTCTGGAATGGTGAAACCTGCTTTGTACATCTTAGCTGCCTCCCACACTGACTTCTGCTTGTAGAAGAGGAAATCCCCCCAGTGAAGGTAGACTGCCTGCTGACACCTCTTGCTGAGGCTGGGCATTTCACTTAGGAGATTGAGATAAATCTCTTCTTGGTAGTGAGGTGTGTTTTCTCCATACATTTCAGCTAAAGCCAGCCTTGAAAACACAGAGGCTGGATCTTTCTGCACAGCCTTTTTGAAGGCCTCAATAGCTGCTGCCAATATTTCTTCTCTGCCTGACTTGGCCTTCTCCAGCTGTTTCTTGTAGCAGACGCCAAGGTCATAGGGAAGGAGATGGTAAGTGGGGTTCAGTGAGATTGCTCGCTGTAGGATAGCAATTGCTTGTTCTGGGAATTCTGGTTGAAAGAACTTGGCTGCATTTCTCAGGACCTCAGGGTCCAGGCTATTCTGAACAACATCTTCTAAGAGGGCTTCGGCTTCCTGTCTATTTGCCCTCTTCAGGATCTTGGCTAAATACACCTTAGCTTCATAGTTTTGCTGCTGTTCATGGAGAATGGCAGCCAACTTCTTTTTGGCTGCTTCCCGATGTACAGGCTTGTGTGAGTGAGTCCATGATGCAAAGACCGCAATTGCCAACCCAGCAAGAAATTCCCCATTTGCTTTGTCTTCTCTTAATGCCATTTGGAAACACTCTGTGGCTTCAATGCCATTACGGAAGCCTGCTGCCAGGAGAGACCAGCCTTTCTGTGCATGTATCTCAGGGATCTGAGCTGCATGTGGAGAGCGGCTCTTCAGGGAGCTGCAGATCTTTCTAACCTTGTCCAGGTAAAACTCAACCAAATCATAGTGGGCCAAGTGATAATAGATCCAGGCGTAGTTTCCATAAATGACCAGGACCTGCCGGGGGAAGTTATCTGGATGATCTCTTTGCAGAATCTCTTCGGCTTCTCTCAGGCTTTGCAGAGCGTCTTCATATTGCCCTTGCAGGTGGCAGAAATAAGCCTGCATGGCAAGGAGCGCGGGCTGGTTCTGGTAGTGAGTGTGGGCAATCCTGAGAGCCAGAGTTTGGAGGATGTGAGCTGCATCTACCTTGTCTCTGATTTCAAAGTTCCAGGTGAAGTGGCACTGGAGGGCCTGCAGCTTCTCCTTCAGACGCAGGGTGCTGCAAAGAGAGGGGAAAATGAGACTTCATCTGGGCTGAATGAATTTCCACTACATGCTACAATCATTTACACAAAGGCTAGTTCCCAGCCCGCTGGCAGCGTAAAGCGAGTGTAAATGGAAAGGCCCCTTCACACGGCCAGGGTGCTGTGAAATGGCCACAGGGGTGTCTACCCTGCAGTGAAAGGTGGGATAGCAGCATGGGCTGCCCTTTCGGCACTAGCTGTAACCTAGATATCACAAAAAGAAAAGGAGGACTTGTGGCACCTTAGAGACTAACCAATTTATTTGAGCATGAGCTTTCGTGAGCTACAGCTTACTTCATAGGATGTTGCTCACGAAAGCTCATGCTCAAATAAATTGGTTAGTCTCTAAGGTGCCACAAGTACTCCTTTTCTTTTTGCGAATACAGACTAACACGGCTGTTACTCTGAAACTAGATATCACAGCTAAAAACAGCAGTGACGGATGGCAGCACGGGATCTGCAAGCCCGTCTGGCCCCCCGGGTATGTAGTATTGTTTCTAGCCCACATCCGGGTCTGTGCCACTGCGGCTTCACTGCTCGTTTTAGTCCCACTAGTTAGATTAAAGCTCGCACGGGGATGCCTACCTGAGCTAGACACACCTGCGACTGCACTGTAGCCATAACCTTAGTATCAATGGGAACGGGGCCCACTCTAGTCAGTAGGCAGGAGAGAAATGTAATGGGGAGATTTTGAGGGTCGGCAGAATGTAAATATTCTTTCTCCGGACATTTAATTGTGGCAATCTAGGCCTGTTACACCCCTCCCCCTGCTGTGAGTCCTGTGTGCAGTGCAGATGTGGTCGCCCCATCTCAAAAAAGATATATTGGAATTGGAAAAGATTCAGAAAAACAAAATGATTAAGGGTCTGGAATGGCTTCCATGTTAGAAGAGATTAATAAGACTGGTACTTTTCAGCTTGGAAAAGAGATGACTAAGGGGGGGATGTGATTGAGGTCTATAAAATCATGACTGGTGTGGAGAAAGTAAATAAGGAAGTGTTATTTACTCCTTCTCATAACACAAAAACTAGGGGTCACCCAATGAAATGAATAGGCAGTAGGTTTAAAAGAAACAAAAGGACATATTTCTTCACACAACGCACAGACAACCTGTGGAACTCCTTGCCAGAGGATGTTGTGAAGGCCAAGACTATAAGAGGGTTCAGAGAAGAACTAGATAAATGCATGGAGGACAGGTCCCTCAATGGCTATTAGCCAGGATGGGCAGGGAGGGTGTCCCTAGCCCAGGGGTTCTCACAAGACATTTTTGGTGGCCTCAGAGCGCAGCCACCAACTCTTGCTGGTGGCCGCACTGACACATTTTTCCTAAAAGACGTAATTAACTTTAGGGAAAAGCAATTAAATGTGCCTCACAGATTTACATCCAAATCAGAGTGATTTATATTTGTAGGGGGGTTGTTTTTTTTTGCAGAGTCAATAACAAAAATAACACTGTCTCCCCCCATCCCCCCACCCCACCATGCAGGGCTTTTAATGGGTCCTGGGGCTTGCTGTGCAAAGTGATATCCTGTATATTTGTTTATATCGCAGCCCGCTTCGTAGCTCCCTGGGAGGCTATGGAAAGTGATAAGTGCTATTAAGAAACACACAGGTATCCCTTTTCACAGATAGCTAGTAAGTCTGCTGTGAAAAGTGATACTTGCACGTTTGGTAATATCACTTTTCTCAGCAAGCCCCAGGACCCATTAAACCCTGGATGTGAGGGGGCAAAGGGGGAGGCAGCAGGAGCCAGAGGCGATGGTGGGATGGGTGCAGGGCCGGGGGAGGCTGCAGGGTACTGGGGGGGCGGTGGAGAGGGCAGGATGGATGCCGGGGCTGTGGGAGGCAGCAAGGGTCCGGGGCAATGGGGGTGAGAGTGGATGTGAGGCCAGAAAGGCAGCAGGGTCCAGGGGCACGGGGTGGGAATGGATACAGGGCTGGGGGAGGCAACAGGGGCCGGAGCAATGAGGGTCAGTGATGAGCCCCACTGTTGCGTGGCCAGAGCCAGGGCCAGGTGTCTGTTGCCATGCAGCCAAGGCTCAGTGTCTGAACCTGGAGCTGGGGACAGGTCCTGCATGGCCGGAGCCAGGGATCGGAGCCGGCTGCCATGCACCTAGAGCTGTGGGTCAGCACCCAGGGCTATTGCCTGCCGCCGCGTGCCAGGGCTGCAGCCAGAGTCAGCGTCTGCCATTGAGTGGCTGGAGCCAGTGCTCGCTGCTGTGTGGCCAGGGGTCGGCACCTGGGGCCAGCTCCCGCCGCTACGTGGCAGGAGCCCAGGAACAGAGTTGTGGGTCGGTGCCTGGGGCCACGTGGCTGGAGCCCGGGGCCAGCGCCCACCCCCGCACGGCCGGAACGGGGGCCAGAGGCAGTCTGAAGCTCTGCCGTCAGACCCAGGGGACAGCACCTGCTGCCCCATGGCCAGAGCCAGGGGTTGGTGCCCAAAGCTCGGCGGCTGGAGCCCACTGCCGTAAGGCTGGGGCTGGGGGTTGGTACCTGTGGCCAGCGACTGCCACTGCACTCTTGGACCCCGGGACTGGAGCCAGGAGCCAGAGCCCGTTGCCACCCAGCTGGAACCAGAGGCTGGACGCTGAAACCCCACAGCTGGAGGCCAGGGCTGTGTGGCTAGAGCTGGGGGGCGGGGGGTATCAGGACCCGCTGCCCTGCGGTCGGAGCCTGCAGCCACACAGCCAGGTTCCTGAAGTCCCGCTGCTGGAGCCTGCAGCCCAAACCCCTTTCCCCAAGGTGGGTCAAGAACTCGCCTCGCTCCTGCAGCGTTGTGCCCCACGTCTCTCCAGAGGTGGAGCAGGGCAGCACATCCAGGTGTGACAAGGAGGGAGAGGGAGGGGCCGATGCTTTGCGCCCCCGGAGGCTGTCGTAGCCGCACAAAAAGCCCCTGGTGGATGCATGCAGCCACATCATACACCAGGAGGAGTGATCCTTAGATACTGAATCCCTGTGAAAATCCTCCTCCTTGTCTCCAGCCTGCCTTGACTCCCAGTATCTGGTTTTTGTCAGTCTCTAACTCCCTATCTCTTGGCCTTTGATGTGAGGCCTCCCATCCTGATAATAAAGGTTACTGATGCATGGCTTTAGGACCATGCTGTGTAATTAACATACTGGTATAGCACGAGGAATGCACCAAGCAGGGACAGGTGGTAGATAAAACAAGGGTTTGTTTATTGGCTAAGGTTTCCGATGCACGAGAGCAACATGCTTTGCTAAAAAGTATATAACCTTTGTATAATCTGTATTCAGGGTCCCCTCCTGGCTAGCGGGGGGCACCACGCTCGAGTGTAATAAACTTAGTGTCTTTTGGGAACTCTGCAGTTGTGGACTTTATGTGCCTCAGCCTGGATTCGAACTGTGCGTGACCTATCAGGTATAATTTGCAGCAGTTGTGTGCGTGTCCTACCAGGTGTAATTCGTAACAGAACTGACAGCTGGCGAGAAGCGGGTGCTCTCCAGACAGTTCCAGCAAGGTGAGCTTGCAGGAGAAGGATGTGAACAGCTAACTCTTGTTAAATGGCCGAGATTGCACTTTATCCAGTGAGTCACCAGCCTGGAGATTCAACACGGCTGCAGAATTATATGACATTGATCCCCACCCCCAGGCTCGGAGAAATAAAAGCCGGAGATTTACAGTCCCAGAAATTAGCAGAGAGAAGGTTCGAAAGCTGTCTGTATTTAGTCCTTGCTGGAAATGTCTCCCCCGCCCTCCCCGCCCAGCAACCCCAATGCTCCTACCTCATTGCGATCCGCTGAGTCCCAGCCCAGCCAGGGGAGGTGACGGCTCCTTTCACTGCCCCGAGTTTCTTCCCAAGGTGTGGACGTGCCCGGTTCTGGGAGAGACCCGAGTTCTGCCCGGGCAGGATGGACTGTGGCCACCCGGATGATGCTGCCCTTTATATGCAGGGCGGGTTCCTAGCTGGTGATCTCACTGGTTTGACTGGCGAGCTGCATTTCCACTGAAAGGGAGACTAAGCAGGAGAAAAGGAAACAGAAACTTAACTTTCACTTCCACTTGTCATCTTCAATGTCCACTCAGCCTGAATCGCCATCTGCAGCTCCATGGGTGACATGGGACTAGTTATGGGTGTGTGTGTGGGTGTGTGTATGCACGTACAATCCTGGCCTGGGCTTCCCAGCACACAGACGGGGTCACTCACCATTACCACACTGTGGCGCGCTCCCTGCTACGCCCCCAACCAGCTCCACAGCCCCCTGCAGCGAACAGGTTGGCCGTGTCCCGGCCCCCGGCCAGCCCTTCCCCACCACCGTGGGGTGTTCCTATCGCCCGGGTGGGAACACCGCCTGCGCTGCCCTGAACACAGGGGCTGTGGTTGTGTGCAGAGGATGGGCCCATAGCACAGAGGAGCTCTCCCTCATTCACTTCAAGGGCCCTGCACAGGGCAGTGGGCAGCCCGGCCTATGCACAGTGACTGTGCGACCCCCGCCCCCTGCCTGGGGCACAGAGCAGCGAGGAGCAGAGGGAGATGATGGAGGCAGGGCAATTAGCCAAACATTAGAGCTTTGTACCTGCTCCCCCAGGTCTCCTCCTCTCCCCGAACCCTCCCCCAGCTTTATCCGCGCAGGGTGCGACTTTCCAAAGGGCCCCCCCCCCGGTTTAGACACCCAGGCCCCATTGGCTGCCAGCGTGATCCGTGCTCCTCAGTCACTTCAGCACTTTTGAAAATGCCTCCCCCACATACAAATTAAACCCTCTAAAGTGAGGAAATAATAGTCAGGTTCCCTGTGCAGCCTCATCTCTACTCTCTGCACGACGCATCGTGGTGCACTCTTCAATTACACGGTCGTGTCTATTGCTGCAGGGTCCCCGCCTCGTTCACTGCACTGTGCGGACATGGTAGGATAAATATAAAATTAAAGAATTAAAGTTACCTTAAGTTTGGTTAAGGAAATGTGTGTGTTGTAAAGAAAGGCCTTGACTAGCAAGTAGAAAGACCATGAAAATAATGAGTTATAAGGCAAGTAGGAATGTAGGGAGAATGTCTGGTTCAAATAATAACTCACGAGATAAGACAATGTTCTCAAGCAGGGGTACACGTACCCTGGGGGTACTCAGAGGTCTTCCAGGGGTTACATCAACTCATCTAGACATTGGCCTAGTTTTCACAGAATCATAGAATCATAGAATATCAGGGCTGGAAGGGACCTCAGGAGGTCATCTAGTCCAACCCCCTGCTCAAAAGCAGGACCCATCCCCAATTAAATCATCCCAGCCAGGGCTTTGTCAAGCCTGACCTTAAAAACTTCTAAGGAAGGAGATTTTATAGCAGGCTACATAAAAAGCACTAGCGAAGTCAGTACAAACTAAAATTTCATACACACAATGACTTGTTTATACGGCTCTATATATTATGCACTGAAAGGTAAGTAAAATATTTACATTCCAGTTGATTTATTTGATAATTCTATGGTAAAAATGAGAAAGTCAGCCATTTGTCAGGAATAGTGCGTTGAGACACTTTCGTATTTTTATGGCTGATTTTGTAAGCAAATCGTTTTTAAATGAGGTGAAACTTGGGGGTACTCAAGACAAATAGGACTCCTGAAAGGGGGACAGTCATCTGGAAAGGTTGAGAGTCCCTGAGATAAGGGGCTGTTTCTAAAAATAAGGCCTCTGATTGATAGGAGGTGGCTGTAAAGGGTTTTAAATAAGACAAAAAGAAACTGTCTTAAGAAGAGGCAACACAAACTTTCCCACCGCACATACCAGTGTTATCTTAACAATTCGGGCACTGTGAGCCCAGGCGGAATGGAAAATCTGCTGATCAGCAAGCAAGAGGGGTGCCTTGGGAGAAAAGGAGGCTACAAAATGTATCTGGATTAAGACTGGAAATAAGGGTGAATTGTCTCAAATTGGTTTGAAGCCAAAGTCAATCATTGGCAATGACAATTACATTGTTTATTAGTGGGTATAAAAAGAGTTATGAATTGGAGGGTTCTTTGTGAGACTCTCGCTGATCCCCCTGGGTCATGCCAGAATGAGAAAGTCATCCCCAGGTCTGGCCTATTTGTAAGTATACTGATCACATGCTTATGAATACTTAAAAAGAAAAGGAGTACTTGTGGCACCTTAGAGACTCTAAGGTGCCACAAGTACTCCTTTTCTTTTTGCGAATACAGACTAACACGGCTGTTCCTCTGAAACCTGTCATTATGAATACTTAGTTACTGTATTGGGTGTCGTGACAGCTTAGTTTCAGGCTGTCAGGCGTATTTAGAGCAATTGTATAAAATACCATTGGCCTTTGGACTAAATAAAGGGGCATATGGTTAAATTAGTGTCTGGTGGTCTCCTGTATTAATACGTTCTACTATTTTTAATTCATTCCAACACCCACCCCCTGCCCAAGTTCTGTTACCTATCAATGAGGCCCTGCTGGGCCCTGCCAAAACCATCTGGCAGACGCCAGCATCAATAGCACCCACATGCAAAAGAGCCAATAAAAAACACTACGTCCCAGCTAAGGACTCTGAATTTTTGTTTACTCATCCTGCACCCAACGCTCTGGTTGTGGAGAGACCACGAGTTATACCTACCTTGAAAAGTGGAAGAGATTTAGCCTTTGGTGTGATCAGTGACATTTTCCACTTGGTTGAAAACCAGCAAGCCGTTAAACTATTACGGTGTGTGTCTCAGAAAACTTCACTGAATCTTGGCTCTCCCCTTTTACATTTTGATAATTTAAGGATGATGCCTGGGTTGCTATTTCTGGATCACTGTTTCTGGAGCACTGTTACTAATCCTTCTCGGGAACTCTGGAAAACTAAATATTATAGAAAGGTTTTATTTGTTTCCTAAACTTAAAGCTGGCCTGTCAAAATGCAAGATCTGTTACCGAGCAACAATAATCACAAATTGTTTTAATAAAAAAGTTGCAATCTGAAATAAATTAACTACTGTTTTCAGTGTCATTAGTTCGACTTTCTGCAAGGTCACTTAATTCAGCTTTGTTCATTGCGGTAATCGGATTCTCAGGTGTTGCATGTATCCCCTCTTGATCCTGCCAGGCAACCAGCAGCTGCTTCGCTCTCATCTTCACATCCTCACTATCTGACTCAATCTGTCTTATATCAGAGTCCTTCATTCCCAAGTAGGGGGCCAGAGTCTTCCACTGTTCTCCAAGCTTGTTAGCAAACGATTCAATTTGTTCCCCTGTAATGGGTTTGTCTCGTTGTACATCTGGACTTTCATTGTTTTCCTTTAATAAAGCATCATTATCTTCCTCATCTTCATCCTCTCCTGTTTTTATTTCTTCAGAAGGGGGAGGCAACTCCTTGGCTAATTTGATTACCATGTTTTCTAAGTATTCTGGTAAACTCTTAAATTGTTCATTGGTTGGCTGGAAGAAGTGGGGACTTCTGCGTGCTAGTAATCTTAATGCTCTCCATCCATAATTACAGTTGTTCACAGCCTTATACTCATTTTCAGCCGTGTCTTCAGGATCTGCCTACTCAATAGCCTCTTCAAAGAACTCCTCCAGTGTCGGCATATATTCCCTAGTCTCAGATTTACAAGCTCCCATGTTGTCCGGACATAAATTCCAAAGCCGAGTTAGCTCCTCATTCCCTGTGAGAGTTTTTTTGTTTGGTCCTTTCCCTAGGAAATCCTCTGGAGCTGGCCTCTTTCTCATTCTTCTCTTTCAGCTGTTCTGGACTGCCTACGGCAATAGAAAACGATGGGATTATCTGTGAGTTCCTGGTGGCTATAACAGCAAGGGTTTGGGAAACCTTTTCTTTCAAGTTAGAGAAACCACCCCAGTATGGTATCTGGATTTAATTCCTAGACACCCAATGAAACCTATCTTGAGCCAATGGCTACCTGTTCCCTTGTTAACCTATCTGTGAAGATGGCCTTCCTGGTGGCTAGTACCTCTGGGCAAAGGGTAGGGGAAATAGGGGCTCTAATGGCAGATGTTCCATTTACAGTATTCTTCAAAGATAAGGTTTCGCTATGTCCGTATCCTCAATTTTACTCAAGGTTTCATCTGAGTTTCATATCAACCAAGTTATCCATCCCCCAGTATGTTTCCTGAACCACATGCAGTCCAAAGAGGAAGATGCTGTTTTACACACCTGGGATGTTGGCAGGGCACTAGCCTTGTATCTAGACAGCACCAAGTCCCCAGAAAGTTATCTAGATTATTTGTGCCTATTGCTGTACATCTAAAGAGACTCTCAGAGACTCTCCGGGGGCGGTTCTGGTTGTATTATATCATGCTCTGAATGTGCCAACATACAACCTCCCTCCAGGGTGCTAGCCCTCTCCACAAGATCCCTTTCTCCCTCTGTTGTGTTACTCAGAGAAGTTCCTGTTGTGGAGATTCGCACGGCTGCATCTTGGCTTCCGTACGCACCTTTTCCAAGCCTTGTGTGGTGGCGCCGGCTTCTCGAGCAGATGCTGCCCTTGGAAATGCAGTTTTGTCCTCAGTCTTGGACTTTGCGCCGAAGCCTCCTTCCCCAGCTGGGAGTTCGGCTCAGGAGTCACCTGAAGTGGGGCACACGTAGGGACACTACTCGAATTGGGAGGAGAACTAACTCTCCTCTGTGAAGTAGCTGGATTTCTTCGAGATTTGTGTCCTCAGCTGCTCCACTACTTGCCTTCCTTCCCAGCCGTTTCAGAGTGCCCTGCAGGGCTTTGTGTTGGAGAAGCAGCTGGGGGTAGGTTGCCCATGTAGGGCTATGTAGCCTGGTGTGGGGCATGAGGAGATGTAGGGTGCGTGAGCGGGTTGAATGGGCACTACCACCAAAAATCTGCAATCAAAGGTGTGTGAAGTGTAAGCGGATGAGAAGTGGTGTGTGAAGTGTAAGCGGACGAGAAGTGGAGTGCCCATCGGGACACACATCTCAAAGAACCTCAGTAACAGCACGGGATGTGTAAC